ACGAAGGAATTGAAGCATATTATGAACAGGGTGGGAAGTACGCGGCTGGGATCGTGAATAATTTGTTCTTCTACTTGTGGCGGCAACAGGGTAGGATCTCCTTGTCCTACTGGTCGATTCCTTCGCTTAACATTTGACGTAGGTGCGAAGGGGCATGGTTCGATCTTTGCCCTATGGCTACTGTTCAACTCTTTATACGCCATTTATGCATCAGCATGGGTATGTGTTATCGGTTATTCTGGTTAAGATTATCATCGCCTGACCATAGCAATGACTCTGTAGGACTTCTTAATGGACTGGTCCGTTCTCCGGGTGCGCTCACGATACCCGCTCCTTCGTCAGGAGCTGATATATGATCATTCAATACCTGTGAGTTTCTGTTATTCCTTCTCCTTCCACGCACGATCTTCTAACTCACTTTTCCTCTACAGATGTATTACTTCGCCATCGTACGTCTGACTCTGTCCATTTCTGTTAGCAATCAAACATCAGATTAATTCACCCGCAACAGATAACAAACATCATGCTCCGCTTCATCTGGGTCATTTACATACCCTCTGCAGCTGGCACCCCAAATATGTATCTCCGCACTTTCATTGGTGGTTTATTAGAAGTTCTTCGGAGGTGGCAATGGAATTTCTGTCAGTCACTCTTCAATCGTAGCAAATCTCACTGCTCATCTATACACAGATCGTTTGGAGAACGAACATCTTGGTAACATGGATCAGTATCGCGTCACTCACGAAGTACCGCTACCGTACTCGTTTGATCATCCGCATACAGATGATGTGGACGATGGCGATGATGAGGATGACAAGGCGTTGGCGAATCAGATTTCCGTGAAGCGAGTGAAGGAAAAGCGGAGACCGGGCTTTGGAAGATCGAGAACAAAGGTACAAGGACAATAATCTACTAATGTATCTTAGAAAAAGTTTAGTATATGCTGTACCAAGTACTCTGAAGCTTCAAGACTAATTGGCTCTACATTGTGCTATTCGCTGATCCAAGCTTTCGGCCGCGTTGTTTGCAGTATGCAGTATCCGATATTTAATCGAGGCTCTGACACCATTCAAAACCATGTCCATCCAGTTAAGTAACCAGCTGGGAATCTAATGGCAATGTGTGTAACAGTGGAAGTCTTCGTCTGACGTCGGCCTTTATATTCTACACTAACCTAAGCTACTTGCAACGTTGGCCAAATCCATTGGCAACTTCAAGTGTGAGTCTGCCATCAGAGTCGACGCTTCCCCTAATGCTCGCGAATTCTCGTCCACACTCTCTCCTTCCCCTGCATCAAGGACTAGACTATCACTGGCAATTTTGATGGCTCTGCCAGTGACCCCTTAATACGATGTCGAATAACGGCAAGAAAGATTATGCAGAAGAGAGCTGACAAGGATTCGTGAGCCAGAAATTCTTAATGGCATGTATAGGATAAGATGACGGACACATAGCAAGTAGGACATTTGAAAAGCAGTTGATTACGATGAGTTCGGTCACCGCTTCAGTGGGGCATGACACTCCAGTTGCTGAAAGCCAAGATGTTAGTTTTTTTTTCGTCTGAGCCTAGGTACAGCACATACACGAGGAATCACATTGTTTGAGAATGATACCCATTACCGTCGAGATTATTGCCCATGGGACGACGGAATAAACAGCAAAGAGGCAAAGTAATTTAAGGGGAGTACCATAAGGCCACGGTGGCCTTTGATCCATAACCTCGTCGGCGAATATTGACACTCTATTTTGTGGTCATTAGTAGTCCTGTAATCAGTCTCTGGTCGGCTTACATGCCTACAGCGGAACCTAACAGTGTGATAAGGGACACGGTGATTCCTGTGAGCCAAGCTAGGCTATTAATATTTTCTAACCTCCAGCTCAAGATGTGTACTACAAGAGCGGAGATGGCAGCCACTGGAAAAATGCACAAGTGAGGGTGTCAGAATTCGAATGATGTTTAATATCATTACTCACTAGCGAAGTATGTGTAAAATAGGTGCTTGCAGCTTGAATAGTACACTACTAGTAAGTGGGGTCGGAGTTGCATCTTGAGGGTGAAGACCTAGTATGGCGTAGGCGAGCTACTTATAAGAAGTCGACTACAATATAGGCCCATTATTCCTTGTGAGTCAACAGCTCCAATGGGAACACGCGTTGTGAGCCCGAAGGCAGTGTTTTACAAGGCCCTTGGTGAAAACCACGGTAACATTTGTCATCAGAGAAAGAACAAACGTTAACAGACTAAGGCTCCGATCACATGTCCTTATACTAATAGTAATATGCACAGCTTGTTGGTCCCTTTGTTCTACGGCTTCTACAGTAGTTCAAAGAAAGTGAAGCGTATTTCATTCCTAAATATAGATAGCACAAAACAATAAAGAATAATAAAGAATACTTAGCGCGTTAGCTAACAGCAGGACCAAGTTTGCGAACATAAGTTTCCCACGTTCTGCATTCCCAGTACATCATGCATCATGCATCGTGCGTACTTCTTATCCAGCCTGGCAAGGCCAAATTTTCTATAGCCCCGCATAAATAAACGGGGTGGGCCAAATCGAGGTTGATCACACATTGAGCGGTCATCGGGCCGTCACTCACATGATGGACCAGGAGGGCTCAGAATACAAACCGCATTTAATCACCGTGACTACTTCCCATATCAACGATACATAATGTCGCAGGGAACCAGTCTTTTATCCCAGCTGCGCAAGCTCGTTTCAATCGACATCGACTCAATGGATCCTTCGGTGACTCGACGACATGAGCAGTACACCTTCACTGATATGACATCGAATCAGGCTATTGTATACAACCAGGCTACACATCCAGAGAACAAATCTGTGATATTCGAAGCGATTGAATATGTTCGCACTTTGCACCCTAACCGTGCTGAAAATGCAGCAGAGGTCGCGGATCGATTGCGCTTAGCATTGGATGTCGTGGTATGCATTGGTTCATTTGACGAGGAAATGTGCTAAGAACTTTCATGGCCCGCATTTCCAGACCGTCCACATGGCACGCCTGGTGTATCCATATTTAACAGGAAAAGTACACGTTCAAACATCGCCAAGTGTAGCGTATGATGCAGAGAAGACTATTACACACGCGCGACGTATTGTCGATTTGTTCGAGGCTTATGGTATACCCGGGTAGATTCTCCTTTATCCAACGCCGTGCGATAATTCTCAGATATTACCTTACAGTGCCCGAGTTTGTATCAAGATACCCGCTACACCTGCAGGCATTGTGGCCTGTCGCGTACTCTCATCTCCTGCTTCGGAATCAGGGTTTGCGCCAATAAATACACTTGCGACTTCTGTCTTCTCTGTTGCGCAGGCGCAAGCCGCTTCGCAGGCTGGCTGTGTATACGTTGCTCCTTACTATAATGGTACACTTTTCTTCATCATTCTTCATGTGATCAATTCATCGACTCGTGGATTACAGAACTACGAGCCCATTTCGACCAGACGACATGGGTCGAGTACAAAGATCCCGGCCGAGAGCATCCCATGTCGTCTGTTATTGCTTCAATCATCGCGTCGCTCAAAGAGGCGGGTAGCAGCATCCTCGTTATGCCTGCAAGGTAAGTTTTCTCTTATGAAAGATCCATCCCGCATAAAGCGTGTAGCAGTATTAAGACCGTTCAGGAAGTTCTGGCACTAGTTTCTCTACGCCCCGACCACATCACGATTCCCGCGCATATACTCGATGATCTTGCGGCAGCTCCAGCTGTAGCAGAAGCCGATCTTGCTCCTGTCATTGCACGTAAGTGTCCACAGTCGTGCTCCACATGAATTGGTGTAATGACGTCTTGGTCTGCGTAGCCCCACCTGAGCTTGAAACTGTCGATTTCCTTGAAAAGGATGCGGCGGCTTTGGACTTCGCGATTGCGAGCAATGCAGATGTCGAGCGCCGTATAAGGGACGCGATTGATTTGTTTACGGAGTGTGAGTTGCGTGCGATGGAGTATGTGCGTAGTGGGACGCAGACACTTGGTGTGAAATGGGATGGGACGGCATTATGGTATTAAGCGAAGGCTGTGGCACCTAAAAACCCAGCGAAGAGAGCCGGCTTAAGTTCTGAGTGATGTACCGTCTGCGCTTCGTGAAATCCACTACAAAATACCCTTCATAATCCCCACATGGCTGAGTCGTGGTGCACGTCACTAGTATTGCTAGCATTTTTTTCTTCCGAGTGGGGAATGGGCAATGCTATGGCTTCAAATTGATCTGTTTTCAGCGAGGTATAGATACCTCGGTAAATAATGGGCGAGTTCAAGATACGCATATGGTGACCTAGATTTCATACCAATACCCCTTTCCTTGAAGTTTCCTTGAAGCTGGGTTAAAGCAAACACTTTGAGGTTGCAGGAATAAATCTACGAAAAGTATGGGCATTGTTCCGTCAAGTTGTAGTAATGACTAGCAAAAATCAAGCAAAACTGCATGAAGATGTTCGATATTCCCTCTAGCCGACTTGAACGACTGACCTCGTCATTTCGCACTGGTACTAGTGACGCGCTCTACCACTGAGCTAAGAGGGACTTCTGATCAAAATGTCTAAGTAAGTAATCTCTGTATCTATCCATCATATGCATCATCTCCACTTTCGCAACATCCACCTTAGAAAGGTGGCTTCATATCATGCCCTCCCTCTGAATCACTTAGTTCAGTATTTGAACGCGTCACTAGTATCTACAAGCGTACTGAACGTGTGTGATACATGACGAGGTCAGTAGTTCATTGAGTCGGCTAGAGGGAACTAAGTGTCCACCTTAAATTCATAGGCTTACTTCTTTCTTTTAAATTTGGAACCTGATTTGTGCATGCACTTCGCTCCGCTCCGTCTGTTTCCTGAGTCTCTGACGCGCTTTTCTGGCCATCGCATGGAGTGTTGGTTTCACTTGCATACCTCACATGGTTTTCGTGTGACCGCAACATTCTCGGAAGATGGCCGTTTCCGCTAGCTGCCTTCAGCACACTTCACACACGCGCTTTTAATCCCTCTTAGCTCAGTGGTAGAGCGCGTCACTAGTATCCGTACCCAGGTCAAACAGTGCATATACATGACGAGGTCAGTCGTTCAAGTCGGCTAGAGGGAACTGATACATTTTCTTCCGACTTTTTGCTCAGTCAACGTTTTAGAACCACTTCAGCGCGTGTTCCTCGAAGAACGCTCTGTATTCTAAGTATCTGGCGTGCTTTCATGGGGTTTTAGCTCGTTTATCAGGTACCTGCCTTTGTGCTTTCGGCTTTGTTTACTGGTCCACGTCGTTCGCAACATCTTCGGAACTCTACCCCCCAGGCGTCCTCCTTGCGCCCTGGTTTGAGTACGCACCACGCGTATGCGCCTAATCCCTCTTAGCTCAGTGGTAGAGCGCGTCACTAGTATACTTGGTCACAATCCTCGTGTACATGACGAGGTCAGTCGTTCAAGTCGGCTAGAGGGAACTACTCTGCTTGGATGCTGTCCTTTTTGACGGTCTTAATGTTCCAGAGCTCGTCCCCCCTCCCCTGTGTGCAGCGTGTTTCCTGCTGAACCCCTCGGCTGTATCCCAAATCTCCCGCGCGCATGCTTTTCTGGCGGTGGCTATAATAACTATGTATGTGATCACGCCATTTTCGCGTGACCGCGCGCAACATCCTCGGAACTCCTCCCCTGGATCCTAGCTTCAGCACGCATCACACACCTACCTTCAGTCCCTCTTAGCTCAGTGGTAGAGCGCGTCACTAGTATTTGGTTACTCAGGATAAAGGTTGCAAGTACATGACGAGGTCAGTCGTTCAAGTCGGCTAGAGGGAATCTCGGGGATTGGAAAAAATTCTTTTTAGTTGAACGTCCTCCGCGCGTGCGTACCCTCTGTATCATACATCATATGCGCCGCGGCTCTCGTGTGGTTTCCTCAGTCCTGAGTACTTCAGTCCTAAACGTTAAACTCCTATGTGGGCTCTTCCGTGACTCTGGCTCCTGGCTCCCCTCCGTCCGCCGCAACATCCTCGGCACTTCCTCCCCCTGGACCCTAGCTTCAGCAGGCACCACGCGCATGCTTTCAATCCCTCTTAGCTCAGTGGTAGAGCGCGTCACTAGTATTCTGTTATAGGATTCAAGTGTCCTGTACATGACGAGGTCAGTCGTTCAAGTCGGCTAGAGGGAACTCGGCTGAAAGTATGGTGCTTTCTAAGTCTTTTTTTATCCGTGTGCCTGTCCAGTGTCTACTACAAGTCCTTCTGTATACTCACCTAGGTTCTGCATTCGGATCGCATTCAATGTCGAGGTCAAGGCGCGGCACGCGTACGGCGCTCGCGCTCGAGCTCGAGCTCGAGGCGATGGTTTACTGGGAACTACAGTAGTACTGCCCTTCCCCCCCACTGGCACATGCACATTGACTGGATCCGGATAGATCGTTAACGTCGACACTGACGCGCAGCACTGGCACTCAGGAAACACGCTCAGCCTCTCACGCACGCGACGGAAGCACATCACATCAATGTACACTCTATATAAATATATGTACGAGTACGAATACGGATACGGATACGGATACGAGGACGAGGACGGAATGAGTATAGACAGGCGGGCGCTACGTAGGTACCGGTGACGTGCGTCTACGTGTATGGGACGGTACTACGAGTCAGAATCTTTGGATGTGGGATGTTGGATGTTGGGAGCACGAACACGAAAAGAGGACGTAATCCAGCTCCAGCGTCGACACGCGAGGGAGCGCAGTCGACGGGCGTAGGTAGGTGTAGGTGATGAGGGATGAGACAGGGGGGGTCCGTATAGTGTCCGACAGACAGCCTGATCTGGTGCGGTGCGGTGCGGTGCGGTGCGGTGCGGAGTACGGACGGGAAAAGAAAGTAAGCAAGGTAGGTATTAAGGAGAGGTATATGGTATCTATAGTCCTTTTGGGTTTGGTCGTAGGCATGTACGTGTAGGAGAATGGATGTATAGCACAACATTGGACAAAGGAGGAAGGAACTTGAACAGGGAACAGGGAACAGGAAAGATCGTAGTATCGTATGTGTGCGATTGAATGAAGGAGAGTATATCAGAGAGTGTAGAGTGTAGAGTTAGAGTTAAGAGTGCAGAGTGAGCGTGAGCGAGTGTTCAAAGTCCAAAGTCCAAGTCTAGACGTAACGTTTGTTTTGGGCTCTGTCTGTAACGTGTGACGCGAGTCCGAAGTCCAAGAGCAAAAAAAGCAAGGGGAAAAAATGGAGAGGGAAGGGAAGGGAGGAAAAGCAGATTCAGAGTGATTTTGGAGTTTCGAGTAAGACGCAGGAGGCAAGAGGGAACAGGGAAGAGTGATGAGTGATGAGTGAGTGCCGAACGCAAGCCACGGGACCTGCGACGGTGTGATACAAAGACTGAGACTGAGATTGAGACTGACTGAGGGTGGGTGGAGGTGGTGGGGGTGAGAAGCGTTGCGAGCCGCCTGCGAATACAGTACAATCTAAGCACGCACGCGCGCACGTCGCCGCCGATGCAGTCAAGGCCCAGCCACGCCACGCGGAAGGACGAAAATGGCGGGCGGTATCGATTCCGAGTCCGAGTCCGAGTGCCCGACGACCGACGAGCCCAAAGAAAGATCCACCGACGCCGACACCGACACCGACACCCTCCTCCCTATGTCCCAATAACCCAAAACCCTATAACCCAACCAATAACCCAACCAGTGACCCAACCAACCCAATAACCCAACCAACCCAACCAAAGAAGAAATCAAAACCGAGCAAAACACCCTCCCCCGTCCCCGTCCCCGTCCCCGTCCCCACGACGCCAACCCCAACTTCTCCGACTCCGACTCCGACTCCGGCGACGACGAACGCGGCGAACGACGCTTACATCTACGCCTACGCCTACTTCGAATTCGACGTCTTAAACAGCACGAGCCCACCCAGCGCAATTGAGTACCCAAACACCTGCAGCGGGGTGATGGTGCTCCCGAAGAGCGCGACGGAGCCCGTGACGAGGAGGATGTCCTGGTCGAGCCCAACGCATATCAGTACGAGTCCAGGAAACAAGAGGGATTACGCGACACGGGCCACGGAACGGAACGCACCTTGAACACCCCCGCGAGCGTGAGCACGAGCCCCGACCCGACGCCGACGAGGAACACGGCTGCGACGTTGAGGAGGAACGCGACGGCGGCGTTGGTGATGAGGATGAGGGGGCCGATGGTCAAGAGGTCGCGGAAGGGCGCGAGGCCTGTAGATGGGAGGTGTGGCGTTAGTTACGTCATATCATGCATATTGTACGGTGGGAATGGGAGGGGAGGAGTGGGAAGGCAAGGCAAGGCAAGGGTGATGATCGACGGTGGTATGGATGGCATTGGCAGGCACGGAGGGAGGGAGGGAGGGTGACGTGGGATGGATTAATGACAGATGGAGAACGGGATGATGGGACGGGAACAAGAACCGTAGAACGGATGACATGACAGGATAAATGAATAACGAATGCCATCCATCTAGACCCTCCCATCCCGTGCGGCGTGCAGCGTGCATCACAATCATGGTACGTGCATCGGCGTAGCGTTCGTGCCGTGCCGTGATAGGGCAAGTATGACAGGAACACAGGAACGTGCGCGCGATACGATACGAGATACGAAGAGAAAAAAGCAAACGACGCAGACAGACGGAGAGGCGTACATACCTTCAGTAAACGGCAGAATACAAAGATTGATGACGGCGCAGACGGGGGCGTAGTAGTGCAACGAAACGAGGGGGTCCATCTTGAGGTTGTGGAGGAGGATCTGGATGAGCACGAGGCGCGCGGCTTCGAACTGCAACGGTAGACAGATAATTCCAGATGAATATTAAAAAAAACGCGAGAAGAATGAATGGATGGATGGACGCACGACGACAGCGCTGGCCTGTATCATGAAGCCGCCCAAATGGAAATGGAGCTCGCCGTGCGAGGCGAGGGCGACGCCGGAGGAGATCATGAGGACGATCATTGCGAGTTTGCGGTTTGGCTCTTGGATGCGGAAGAGCCATGTTATGAGGAGGATGGCGACGGGGACAAAGGCCTGTTGTTTTTGTTGTTATTCATAGTCAGGTTTGTTCCGAATATGGATAGCGGTGTATACGCACCTTGAGCATCTGGATATATGATACGCTGAGGTAGAGGTATGCCGTGTTGCTTAGGACGAGGCTGCCGGAGAAGAGGATGCCTATGGGCACGATGCGGGTGAGGAATAGGTGCTGGTCCATGTTGACGTCCTTTGCTGCGTCGAGGAGGTGCGTCGTCCGCTGGAGGATGCGTGTGCCCGCCGCTGCGAACGCCAAGTGCCATGTTACGGTGAAGACGGGGTAACGAAAGTCGAGTGAGTTGTAGAGGTAGTTGTTGTATATGATGACGGACGACGAGAGCACGATCCAGATGGGTATTATCGTCGTTGCTGTCAGGCGTTTTGGGGCGGGGGAAGCGACGGCCGGGGAGGGCAAAAAGTCAGCCTCTTTGTCGTGGTGGTCGAGGGCGACGAGGTCGAGTGATTTGGGCATGGCGGGTGGTTGGGTGGGATGGGGGAGCTGAAAAGTCGTCGGCATCAAATATTAATATTATTATTCCTTGGCACGGCCAGGACCCCTGACTCCCCTCATCATCATGTCCTCCCTCCAGGGCTATGTAGACCGTACGTCCCTTCTCTTTTTAGTCTATCATATCCCCGTCCTCACTCACCCCAGGCCGTGTCCTCCTCATCCTACAAGACGGCCGCACCATCGTCGGCACCTTGGCCGGATACGACCAAAAATCAAACGTCGTACTCGCCGATTCCAAAGAACGCGTGTATAGTCTCGATGAAGGCGTCGAGGAGCAGCCGCTGGGGTTGTACCTCGTCAAGGGCGATATGATGTATGTCCCCCTGCGCGCGTCTGACACTCTATTCTCACTTTTGCTCACCACCCGCAACGCAACGCAGCATCCTGATCGGCGAGATCGACGACGCAATCGACTCTGCTGCTGACCTCTCCACCATCCGCGCGGACCCCATCCCCCCCATCCGGTACTAGGCAAATCCCAGCGCGGTGCGGCGCAGCGCAGCGCAACGCAACGCATCGTGAAACGGCGATCCTAAAAAAAAGCTACCGTAACCGTAACCCTCGCTACTTACCCACCTCCCTGCGGTTATCCGTTACGTTTCGCCCATGCGGAGTCTTGCGTGGACAAAACTTGGAATAAAGAAGGAACACATCTCTACAGGACAACGATACGACCCCCGGAGAGGCCTCGCTCGCGCGCCCAGGGATCATGATAATTGAATTCAACAAAATCTACTAAGTACATATATATTCTTCGAAGCAGGGATGGACAATGGACTGAGCCGTGCGCGTGCGCGTGATTCGTGAAGGGTATATATATATTCGGTTAGGCTAGGTAGGCCCTAGGGTAGGGTAGGGTAGGTAGGGTACCCCTGATGTGTAGTCCCAGTTCATCATCATCTAGACTTTACTCTGGCTTGCCGAACGCCTTTACTTGTATCAGCATCGTGCGACGTGCGTCCATCAACCCCCCGGTTTTCAGACTCTCGGTACTCAGTACTCAGTCACGGTGTCTCAGCGTAACCGTCCGTGGTTAGGCTATCGCGACTCCAGCGTCCACCCACACACATCGTGACCAGAACCAGAAAGCGCAAAGCAGAAAGGACACACGTGCGTCGTGCACAGCGCAAGAAAAGTCATTCTAGGAAGGTAGGAAGCTTCCGAAGGAAAGATTCTTGAAGGATTCTTGAAAGATTCTTGAAGAAAGGAAGACTCGGAGCAGCCTCAGATCTCGAGTTGGCACGCGTAGTATGGTACCGGGTACCCGGGTATACAGTACGAACCAAAAAAGCATATGATTTATCACTGAACGATGTATATCGCGCAGGCCCTCTAGCCGTTTCGAACGGCTGACCTCGTCGAGGGTACGATTCCTTCAACGTAGAGGAGAGGCAAACCCGGTCGACGCGCTCTGGCTCTGAGCTAAGAGGGCTTGTGGTCACCCTAGGAGGTCCCGCCATATGTAGGATTGGAATTTGGAACCGTCAACGGTGGTTATTCCTAGTAGATCTTGGCAGGCCTCAGGCCTCAGGCCCGGGCTCAGGCTAGCGCCAAGGTCGTGCACGCGCGCCAGTGCGCCGTGCGCACACGCACCACTGGCCAAACTTGGAATGCAACTTGGACTAGGACTTGTTTGAACTTTTCGCCGCTCGCGGCCTGCGGCCTGAGGCCCTTGAAGTTCTGAATCATGACTCAGATGCATGATGCATGTGCACATGCATGATCATCAATTGCAATCAAGCTTCAAACTCAAGGCCCAAGCGCCCCCGCCGCGATCCACCGAGGGAACTAGACTACTTAAAAAGTTTTCGATATCAAGCTTCTCTGTGCGTAAGTCCCTCTAGCCGTTTCGAACGGCTGACCTCGTCGAGGGTACCTTTACGTATGGAGCGAGAAGGTGACCTGGTCGACGCGCGAGTCTGGCTCTGAGCTAAGAGGGCTTGTGTTCGTGACCCTGGGGGGTCCCGCCATATACAGGATTGTAACCGTATTAATTATTCCTAGATCTTGGCAGGCCTCAGGCTCGGGCTAGCGCTCACGCGCACGGACAGGCTCAGTGGACTCGGCGCCGGCCCTCCGTCCGAGGACGCGAGACTGAACTCGAACTCTCGGAATGAAATTGGACTGCGCATGCAATTCGAATTTCGCAGGAAGTGTATACAATGTACGTTGACAAGCAAGCATAGAACTACTAGTTGTAGAAAAACCGTTTCGAACGGCTGACCTCGTCGAGTGTAGCAATACGCCAGAATGAGGATCTGGTCGACGCGCTCTGACTCTGAGCTAAGAGGGCTTGTGCTCACGCTAGGTGGTCCCGCCATATATAGGATTGGAACCGTCACGGTACGGTGGTCCGTACTGTATTCCTAGATCTCAGCCTCAGCCTCAGGCTAGTAGCGCCAACGTACGTCGTACACGCGTGCCAGTGCGCCGTGCACACCCGCACCACTGGCCATGGTTCCCCTGAGGAAAGGAGAATGCAACTTGGAACGTTGACTTGGAATGCAACTTGGACTAGGTTGTTCGAACTTTTCGCAGCCCGGGCCTGGACCTGAGGAACTTGAAGTTCTGAATCATGACTCGGATGCATGATGCATGATGCATGCGCATGCGCATGAAGTCCCCGCGTATCCAAGGGATCCGGACTCGGAGCTGGACTGGTACATAAAAGAACTTGCGCACCTTCGCAGGCCCTCTAGCCGTTTCAAACGGCTGACCTCGTCGAGGGTACCATTACGTATGGAGCGAGAAGATAACCTGGTCGACGCGCTCTGGCTCTGAGCTAAGAGGGCTTGTGGTCACCCTGGGGGGTCCCGCCATATATAGGATTGGAACCGTATTAATTATTCCTAGATCTTGGCAGGCCTCAGGCCCGGGCTAGCGCTCACGCGCACGGGACTTGGACTCGACCAGGCTCGGACGCGAGAATGGATGAATTCGAACTCGGAATGAAATTGGACTGCAATTCGAATTTCGCAGGAAGTGTATACAATGTACGTTGACAAGCAAGCATAGAACTACTAGTAGTAGAAAAATTTCGCTAATCGCCTACCACGGAAAGGTCCCTCTAGCCGTTTCGAACGGCTGACCTCGTCGAGTGTAGCAGTACGTCTGAATGACGAGTCGGAAAACCTGGTCGACGCGCTCTGGCTCTGAGCTAAGAGGGCTTGTATCGGATACTGGCCTGAAGCTACTACTAGTAGTATTAGACTCCTGGATGCCAGTCACGGTGTCTGTACTTCACTTGTCCATCAACGCCTCCGAATCGCTCAGGATACTAGCCACGATGCATTCCATCTGGCCTCCGCCCCGGGTGTATACACACTATACTATAACTCTGGGTATCTACGCACCATACAATTTTTTTTTTTTTTAAAAAAAAAAAAAACTTAAAGATCACCTGGGGACTCCCTCTAGCCGTTTCGAACGGCTGACCTCGTCGAGTGTACCAATAACTCTCGAAGAATTACACCTGGTCGACGCGCTCTGGCTCTGAGCTAAGAGGGCTTATATTCACGCGGGAGGGTCCCTCCATAGGACCTGGAATATTCCTCGAGATCTGGTCATTCGAAACGGCTGGGTGGGCACTGGGCCGTTATCATGAGGATGCTAGTACTCGAGCTCATAATCCGAGGGGCGAGATGGTAGTATACTCAAATACTGAAACCGAAAAAAAAAAGAGAAAAAACTCAGATCCTCAAGTTAATGTCCCTCTAGCCGCGTCGAACGGCTGGCCTCGTCTGCACTAGTTCGTACAATGTTGGAGGATTATAATGAACAGACGCGCTCTAACTCTGAGCTAAGAGGGCTCGTAGCTGCGTATCGGGGTCCTGGATTTCTATTGCTTAGTAGCACTGACTCGGATTCGG